CCATGATTTTGTTTAAATTTTTGTAAAATTGCTTACCACACTTACGATTGCTATAAATTTTGCTTAATTTTTTTTTAGATTTTCTAATTTTGTGTCTTCAAACTAAAAACAAAAGCACCAAAAACGCACCTAGCGCAAAACTCAAAAATTTTCACGTTTTGAATACCCACTAAATTTGGTGCGAAAAGCATCAAGTTGGCAACAGTGAATGTAAACAAAAGTATTTTATGACGTCAGCGATTGGGTGGATGCTGTCAAATCGACGAAGAGAGGGTTAGCGGTCCGCGAATGGCGCGACCTTTATTTTCTGGATCGTGTATGTATGTGCTACAGCTCGTCGTTGATCTGACTTTACTCATGCAGACGCTGAACTTTTCGCGTAGCGCATCAATCAGAGCAGCAGCAGCATAATTTCAATATTTCAATAGTATAACAACGGTTGCCACTTTGGTACAATTGTACCAAATATGGGCTTTTTTATCCCATTGGGCCTTTGAACCTTTTTTGTTTGTTTTTGTGCTTTTTTTTCGTTCATTTGGCGTTGGCGAGAGCTACCGTTCGTCAGAAATATGCAGCACTCGCTGCAGCTGTTCTGTTAATTGTTATCGCCGTACTGCAGTGGAATTCTGACCATAAATTTCTGGAAAATTTTCGAGTATGCAGTTTTATAGCCCGTTTAATTTTAGTAAAACAATGTGCAAGCTTCATGTCGCTAAAAATTACCTTTGAATTTTTTTGATTTTTTTTTGTTGCGCATAATCAAAATCTCCTTTTATATGGAACAAAACGCGCAACACCCTCTGCGCTGAATGCGAACCCGAGGTTTGAAAAAAAATTTGATTCTTCGAAGTTATTTAGAGGTCATGCCAATTTCGTCTCAAGGTCAAATTCAGAAGAATGGTATTGAATTTTCAAGTTTTTCAACGAATTTTCCCCTACTTGACCTTCAAGTGACCTCGAACCTGATGTGATGGAGACTAACAGGCCTCGGATTCATATTAAGCTCGTCGAATACCATAGGGATATAGAGGTTTGGTGCAATATGAAGATACACTACCATTTGACACTGCAAAAAATGGTACATTTTATTTTATTATGGGCCTTTTTACTTGGATATTGTGGTACACACAATTTCGATGAAGTGGCAACCGTGAGTATAACTCTAATTTTATTGCGTGAATTTCATAACATGCAAATGCTGTTTTTCTCACATTAGCCCATCGCAGTCGGAACTTCTAGGGTGGCTTTTGTACCACATACAATATTTAATATATGCAAAAAAAGAACGATCGGGCATATCAGTATAGTTTCTCGATTGCCACCTAAGATGAGACTAGCTACCATTTGCATACGACTGGGACCGGACACTTGATACCTCTTCCTGGAAACGTCAGCTGTACACCGATGGCTCCAAACTGGAACGCGAAGTCGAGGTAGGGGTTTACTCTGGATCCCTGTGTTCAAGAAGCTCAATTCGTCTGCCTGATTTTGCAAGTGTTTTCCAGGCAGACGAATCCGTAGCTTAGGGCGTAGTGGTTTACGTCACGGCGAGCGCGTAGCCATGTTCTCAGAAAGCCAGGCGANAAATTTGGTAAGTGGGTGTATTTTTATATTGTATTAATTATTTGTCGGAACCGGAAGTATCGGACCACCATAACATATAGTCCCCATACAACTGATTGTTCAGATATGAGATTTTTCCTTATAACTCCTCCATTTATATAGCTAGGAACATGAAATTTACTTGTTTACTTACTTGTTTTTATTCAGTTTACAACAATAACATACACTACAGAATAATAATTTTTAACCAGATAACCTGATAACCAGGGAAGTGCGAACAACCCAAATGATTGATAAAATCTTAAATTTAAAGAAAGTTAATTTAAAAAAGAAAACAAATAAATCAGAAATATACATAGGTATATAAGTTCCTAAAAATTTAATTGAACACAAAAGAATACTTATTTCATTTTGAAACAATAAAATCAAAACAGTAAAGGAAAATTTTATCTGGAAATCGAATAATATTCAAAAATAAAACAAGTTTCTAAAAACTAAGGCTGCGTTTCTTTATACATTCCGGATAATCTCATTTCACAGCCGGAATAAACAGAATGTGTTTGAAATATACGTTAACATATCATCAGGAACGTTCTAAAGAATAAGTAAACAAAAAAGTTTATTCCAAACGTTCAGAATGAATAAAGAAATTCAGCCTAAATGAAATTAAAAAAATATATATATTTATTTTTAAGACAATTTGTTTTTTTATTTATGGCCGTATAACAATTTTTATTGAGCTTGTAGCCGTTTTTAATGAAAAACTATTGTGGAAAGTATGATGAGAGTGGCCATAGACAGGTTGAGGACCTCGGTAAGGTAATCTACTCCCGCAGGACCCAAATTTTTCAGCATCAGCATACAAATTCCGTCTGCTCCGATGGCCTTCCCAATGGCTAACTGAACTTCACCTCTGGTGAACACAAGAGGTGCGCTGAGAGCTGGCAGTTTGTGCAGCTTTCTGGTGACTCGAAGTTTAACTTTATCTGCCGTAATAGGCAGCGTAAACTGTCGGCTAAAGTAGCTCTCGCATCTCCGAAAGAGATTCCGAAAGGCAGTGTCAATGGGGTAAAAGTCTATATATATATTTAAACCTATGATTGATTACCCATCACTCACTTATCCGTCTAACAGCCATCGAATCGAAGCCAAACTTGGCACGCACCGATCAGTTTCTTAAGGTGTGAAATGCGAAGTCTCCAAAGATTGCCGAATGCTCGCCGAAGCTGACGGAGCGGACAGCAGTAAAGATGAGTACAATGTTGCCAGAAAATGGCTCGCTCCGCGGTACTTCTGCTCACCTTCAGTTTCTGGATTTCCCCATTGCCTCGGATAATACGTTATTAAAAGTGTGTCGATATCGACGAAGGCATCAACAACAAAGTCTTTGTTCTTAAATTAATTATCTATAGCTTTAACGATTCTATGTAAAGCAGACTTCACTGATTTACATCTATGTATATATGTACATATATATAAGTCAATCAGTCTACGAGGATTTTCAATTGGAAGGAAGAGGGGCTGATTGGTTTAAACTCCTTGAGCGGCACGAAAGAGTTTCTTCCGTCTTTTTAAAAAACGCTATCCGGAGAGAGATCGTGGACCTCGTGCATGGCTGCAGTAACGTAACCTAACTAAAATTTTTGTGCGTCTTAACCCTTTCCGGTCAAATCCATCCCTGATGAATATAAAAATTGTTCCTCTTAATTACGAGGTTCATAGAGCCTCATAATACCAAAAGTAAAGAAAAAATATTCAAAAGTTGTTTTGGGTAGCTATTAGGGCTACCTCAAATTTGTGCAATATATTGTACAAAAGTCCGCAAAGGTGTAAAAGTACTCAAGAAAACTCAATAAATATTTCACTAAGTTTGACGGAATAAAACTTTTATTTCATTGAAAATGAGCTTATTTATATACAAAATAATTGATTTTACTGCAGATATGTTGGAATGAATATTTTATATCTTTCTAAGTATTTTTAGTTAAGATTTGCATTAAAAAATTTTAAATTTTCTCCATGAGAAGATAATTATATAAAGAAATTTTGAAAAATTTCAGATAGAATTACAATATAGAATACAAATGACCCGTTTTAATAAACCTTCCTGGTTTTTCTGCCTTCAGTAAATCAAGAAATCAAAAACCTACCCTTTACTGCAACAAGAGCGCACAAGCTCTTTAAAAACCACGGCAAAACCACCCTAATTGCCTGTTCAACTGCAACCTTTGCGGACGTTTGTACAATATATTGTACAAGACACTTACAACCTTTCAGTGTAAATTTACAATATATTGTACATTTTTTTTACCACTCGGGAAAAATATTTTAAATCATGATAGTTTAATTTTAGTATTTTTATATGATGAATTGCCTTTTATATTTCCATACTATGTGCTTTAATTAGCGATTTTACTTAACTTTCACTTATTTTTTTACAGTAAATTACCACAACTTGCGTGTCACTGGAATTTTATAAAATGGTTTATTTTTAATTTAAATTCTAAAAATATTTTTGAAACGCTTTTGATTTTGAAATTTACGTAAACTATTCGGGGCATTCCAAAACTTTATTAAGTTTAATTTGTTTTCAAAAATATTAATAAGATTTTTAGTAGCACGCTTCCAATGTTACAAAAAATTAAATGTACAATATATTGTACAAATGCAGGGGAAGGGTTAAAATCACACGTGCTCGTAAATATACCTTACAAAACTTTGCTGGCTTGACTAAATGTTACTTTTGCAATGTTAAATATTACCCACATGCTCGTATGTAGGTGTTAGAGACTTAAAGAAAACATATTTAATTTTATTGCTTTTTATCGTTTTTGGTTAATTATGCGTCTCATTTTTGCACATAATGCCAATCACTTTAGCTTGCTGGCCGTAACTGGCATACATGTGCAACATAATCTACCGCGTTTATGGCTTCGTCCGCGCCGTTAAAACATTTAACATCGTACATACATATGTACATATATATATATATGAAATAAATAAATTTTGTATAAATTGATCAGTCGGTTTGGCGGTTAGTATCAGTTCCGATAGTTAATTCGTTCAGCTTAGTAGTAGACCATATCTAATCATCGGAGCAAAATGGTAAGTGAACTACAAAGTTTTGAATTTTAATTAACGCATCATAATGGAAGCAGCTTTGTTGAAAAATTAATTGCAGCATCCTTCAAGTGAAGTTTAAATTTTCAGTGAAAAGTTGTCCATGGTTTTTGTAGTCGCGGTGACTTAATAACTGAGTTATCTTAATAGCAGAGGGCTGGGCAAGATATGCTGGTGATCACTAAATTATGGCGGTGCCACCTCTTAATAATTTAATTATTTTCATATAACAAAAACTATATCAAGCATATGATAAATCTTTATTACATCTATGTCCTATTTATTTCTTATGACATCTCTCTTTGTTTCTATTACAGAAAGTCTTCCTAGTCATCACTCTCGCCTTGGTTGCCTTGGCTTCGGCTGATGTCAGTCATTTGTCGAATTCATACCTGCCGCCCAGCTCAGGCATTTCATACTCATCGGGCGCTTCTCTTGGTAATGCACACTCTTCAGGCGGCTCTCTTGGTAGCTCGTACTCCTCAGGTGGTTCCCTAGGTAACTCATACTCTTCGGGTGGTTCTCTTGGCAATGCATACTCTTCAGGCGGCTCTCTTGGTGGCTCGTACTCGTCAGGTGGGTCCTTAGGTAACTCATATTCTTCAGGCGGCTCCCTCGGTGGCTCATACTCTTCAGGCGGTTCTCTGGGCGGCTCATATTCGTCCGGAGGTGCTGCTGGCGGTTCATACTCGTCGGGTGGTGGCTCGTCCTACTCTGGGTCATCCAACGAATACCTGCCTCCTGCCTCAGCTCCAGTGTACTCTGCTCCAGCTCCTGCTCCCGTCTATTCTGCACCAGCTCCTGTTTACTCTGCACCAGCTCCAGCTCCTGTTTACTCTGCACCAGCTCCAGCCCCAGTATACTCTGCACCTGTAGTTTCTTCGGGCGGAAGTGATGGTGGTTACTCTTACTCTAGCGGTGGTTCATCTGGAGTCTCCGGCGGTATTTCATTCGGCCACTCCAGCGGCGGATCGTACTCAAGCGGTGGCTCTTCCGAATACTCTGGCCCAGCTCTTGCTCCAGTTTACTCGGCACCAGCTGCTGCTCCAGTCTACTCAGCTCCATCACATTCATCAGGTGGCGATGGCGGTTACTCTTACTCCAGCGGTGGTTCATCTGGAGTCTCTGGTGGTATTTCGGTCGGCCACTCTGGCGGTGGGTCGTACTCAAGCGGTGGCTCTTCCGAATACTCTGCCCCAGCTCCTGCTCCAGTTTACTCAGCTCCATCACTTTCATCAGGTGGTGATGGCGGTTACTCTTACTCTAGCGGTGGGTCGTCTGGAATCTCAGGAGGTATTTCAATTGGACACTCTGGCGGTGGGTCCTACTCAAGCGGTGGGTCTTCCGAATACTCTGCCCCAGCTCCTGCTCCGGTTTACTCGGCACCAGCTCCCGCTCCAGTCTACTCAGCCCCATCACATTCATCAGGTGGTGATGGTGGTTACTCTTACTCAATCGGTGGTTCACCCGGAGTCTCAGGCGGTATTTCAGTTGGCCACTCAAGCGGTGGCTCTTCTGGGCTCTCTTCTCCGAGCTACTCATCAGGTGGCTCCTTGTCTTACTCGTCGGGTGGTGCATCGTACTCTGGTGGCGATGCTGGCACTCAGTATGCCTCCAACGGTGGTTACGTCTACAAAAAGCAGTAAACCACTTGGAACTTTTATTATTAAGACTGTGTTTGTACCTTAAAGTAGCTAACGATGTTTCATGCATACAAAGCTCATACAACTAACTTATTCTTCCTGAAAACACGTTGTAAATAATTGTCTTTGTTATTAAATACATAAGTTTTTGTTATAAAAAATATTTGTTAAGCCTTTTGATATAACTCGTACTACATACATATGTAGATATAATTACCATATGTAATATTGTATTCCGTGCCATGGTTCATTAGTAGACGAAAGGATAAGTAACTAACCGAAACTAACGACGTATAACTAGTGGGACCATGTTCTGGTAAAGGATCTGTTATGGATTTGGCCAAGCTCTCCTTATGTTATGTTACCTGTATTGTTTTTGAAATTTGCCTGGAGGGACCCATTTCCATCTCTGTGGCAACGTTAACGTGTCGCTTATAAAAACCATTTAATTTACCTAGAGGTAAAGGTTCTTCGTGCTGTTATTGCACGTCATGCAGCACTCTGGAATAGTTGCAGCGATGCCGCAAATCCGACAATACGTGGCGAAAAGTTACATCCTGCAATAGATACCTCTGCTTTTATCTATTTCTTAACGGTATACATCTGGTTTTATTTAGTTTTTCCTGGGTATCAGGGCACTCAATGTCCAACGGGATTGCTGGAAAAATTGCCATAACAGCGAACGAATTGGGCGTAAACCCAAACGACAAAAGAAAACTACCTGTTACCTTTAGAGAGGAAAACTCGAAAAAGATGCCAAACCCAAACGTCCAGGCAATTTTTCCAATCACTAAAGAATGGAACGAAATGGCTTTGTTGACTCACAAGCGGAGGAAAAGGAATTACTCTGCGAATTCCACGTCCTCTCATGTTGAAAAATTCGCTAAGAGAAAACCAAGTCAAATTGACAANCTCACAAGCGGAGGAAAAGGAATTACTCTGCGAATTCCACGTCCTCTCATGTTGAAAAATTCGCTAAGAGAAATCCAAGTCAAATTGACAAAAGAGAACACACTGGACAAATGGAATCTAAGCGCTAGGTAACCATTTCTGTGGTCATAAAGGCATCGACGTATCAAGCAGGCCTGGTTAAGAGAGCAAGATTAATTCTACTCCTAAATAGTAGCCTAACAAACTTTGGTCCCTCGACCAACTTCAGCCCATACAGGCTGGCAGCAGCAAAAAAACTCCGTGAAGTTTAGCGGCTGCACCTTTCCTCCGGGGTGGTTGTCGATTGATTGCGCAGATGCGAAACCCTGGAAAGACGCGGAACTTGTGGATACCAATTCGAGTGATATCTCCAAATCCTGTGTCTATATTGGTTACTTACCGTACTCATCAAACAATCCAGTGGATAGTATTTTTTCGAACCACCTGGGAGACCACAATAGAGTAACGCTGTGGTGGGTCCAGAGACATGAAGGGTTTGAGGACAACGGAGAGGCTGACTTTCTCGCAAAACGTGGAGCCTAAACGCGATTGCATGTTACCAAGCGTGTGTACGTTACATCTAAAGGATTCCCTACAGAGCTTCTTTTAGCTTGATTCCTTGAACTTAGCCGCGAGGGTCTTAGAACACTTACTGGCTACATGACAGGACACCTTGTCGGGTGTAGCGCATTCACCATACTCATTCGTATAGGAATCCAATTGAAATTTAATAAGAAAAATGTTGAATAAGTGTGATCATTGCACTACCGATGACGAGGAAGATTCCCAGGCTAGTTTTGAATTGTCTCTGTAATCTACACTGAGGGAAATAATGCATAGTAAAGATGAATACTTTATATTTGATTATCGTTTAAAAATGTTCGTATTTAAAAATAATATTTTCATACAAAATTTATTACGCACGTATTTGACTGTTCACATCTGAGGATGTGTATGTAAGTATACATACGCACCCCAAGCATGCAGAGCGCCGCTCTGACAGCGGCGACAACACACATCGGGTTCGAATTCCACTGCAGGCAACCAGCGTTGCCATTTTAGCCGTTTTCCGGCTAGATTTAGCCGGTTGCGACAACAAACAGCCGGAAAAAATTCGATTTAGCCGGCAGCCGATTTGTTAGCCGTTTTGCAAAAAAAAATTAGCCGTTTTTAGCCGATTTTGCTCTTCGCCTTATTTTATTAAAATTCAAATATACAAGTTTTTATTTTTACAAATTTAGTGCTCCAGAATCTATTAGAAATGGCTAGTCTTATCTCTGAGAAAATTTTCATGTCGGACTGTGTTATGTAAAATTGAAAAACAATCAGATAGTGAGCCGATTTCAATGTTTTTTGTTTTAAGCGAGTGACCCAAATATACATAAACTGGGAGGCGTCATTTTAGCAGATTAAAAAGTTACAAGTTTTGCTGAAATTTTCCACAATTTTCATAATTTTTGCACCAAGTGTGAAATCTGTTTGTAGTATATGTTGTTTGTTAAGTAATGTGCTACATATTCATAAAAAATAATAAATATTAAATAAACTAAAGAAAAATAGGCAAAGCTTGCTTAAATTTTGCGTCCCAGTATATATTTGGGAGAACGTAGCGGGAATTTTCTGCATAAAATTTTTGTTATGAATGTCTTAAATTTAAGTGTGAAGTTTTATTCGCTACACTTAGAAAATAAAAGAGCACGAATTTCGATGTGGAGCAAAACTCTCTGGGAAGACAATACATGGTGCAAACATACCTTTTTAATTTTATAAAATAAAACTGCAGTAGTTTTCATCTTATGTGGATAATTCGTGTGACAAATACATAGTTTCGTGCTTATATTTTTGTATATATATTTTTAGCAGCACCACATCTTTATCAAAATCCGAGCATCCAATAATTGGTACTGTTACAAGTTGCAGGCACCATTTTAACTCGACCTCTTTCCTGTTCCACGGAAAATGGTACATCTTTCAGAGGTTTAAAGATATTTTGCGTCAGCAATTTGTTATCAACCTACATACCCTACCTCGGAAAAGCAAAAAACTTTATATTCGAACGTTTGCTCAGGTGTACCGAATTCTGGCAGTTTGGAAACGCGCAACACTTAATATTTTCATCCAACTTCACTGACTTCAAATTCTCAAATTTTTCTACTTTTTTAAGAAACAAAAATTTTCTGCTAGTGAATCTGGTGGCATGATTTTAGTTAAATGTCATAAACTTGTTAAAAGTGAAGTGGTCGGCAACAACAATGAATGTCAATGCCTTCTGCTTTCACAGCCTTACGTGTTCATTTCTCAAAATATTGCCCTCCGACTAAGCAAAAGTGCCATACTTTCAGCTAATATAGCTATTTTGCGGGACAAAAAGCAACATACTGAAAATGATCCAATATTTATAAGAAGGCAAAATTGTTTAATAGAAAAGAAAACGCGATAACTTTGTAATTTATCTCTGTTTTTATATTTAAGTAATACAAACATGACTTATGATGTAAAGCTTAGCTACGTATAACGACAGTTTCCTTTGTTAAACAAAAATAAAGTGGTGTACAGCTTACCTACGTATAAATAATCTTTATTAACCAAAAAAAAATTCAATGGATTGACTAGTCTTTCTAATTGTAGTTTATGTATTTAAAAAAAAACTAATTCTGTTTGAAACATTTTAGCCGTTTTTAGCCGTTTTTTTTCCAATCTAGCCGGTCGCCCTGAAAAGTTCTGGCAACACTGCAGGCAACATGCAAATAAAATTTTTTTTTAGTTTTTGTCTTGATTATTCACTTCGCGGATGCTTTTTCAGTATGAAAGCGGTCATTTTAATGTGCGCGTAATTGAATTGAATATTTACCAATATACAGTACCTACTTTGGTTGACGTTTATAGTAAGATCAATTACGTTTCTATTTGATTTTAATATTTTTTCCCCTCAGTGTACATTCTCCAAGCAAACAAGTAAGCAAACGAGTGTGGCTTCCGCATTAGCCGAGTCGTCGGAACAGTGTATTACAAATCAGTAGGACCCACGATGAAGAAAATAGATATGGAACTATCCGCAGATTACTACGCAGATTTGTCGATTTGACAACATCCACCTAAGCGCAGACGTCATAAAATACTTTTTCACACAAGGGATGAAAATTGAATTTTCAAATTTTACCTATTCTCCAAAAAATCATTATCTTAAAGTAAATAAATGTATTTTATGCGCATAAATTTTTGATAGGGGTGTACAGTGTTTCCTTTCGGTACCATAACTACTTTCGAACTCACATCAAACAATCTTTGCTATTAAAAATGGTGTTGAGAAAAATTTAAAGCTGAAAAAAGTCCTTAATTTTCTTCCTTATATTGTGAGCCATATGTTTAGGGTCATTACCTTGCTGAAAATAACTACTAAATAGTGTGCTGTTTTTGGCAGCAAAGTTTAAACAAAGTGCTGTGGGAAGACTTTATTGGTGCACAGTATGTATCTTCTGTAGATAGTGTTTATGTTAGGAGTTTTTGACAGAAGGAGAATGAGCACGAAAAATAAGCACAGGTACTCGTTTCCCGTGTTTTCTAACTCGAGAAAAACTTCCGCAATATTATACGACAGCAGCAACTATTGATTTTTAGATGTCTCATAAATTTGCAAAAAAGTACAAGAAAAGAATAAAAGATCTAACTTATTTGCATACAAACAAAAAAAAAAATTCAATTTAAATACATACAGTGAACATACATATAAACGGAACAATATATCTCTAAACAAAATCGATGTTATGCAAAAATGGAAGTACGTTGAACAAAACATTTGCTAATATACCGAGCTCAATTCTACGGCAATTCTATTTACGGCCTGTCGGTATGCAGTTGGTTCCAGAGGTTGTTTTATGAACCGTCCGTGCTGCAAGCAGGTGTCTGTTCGCGGGCTCATGTCTGTGGCACCCTACTAGGTAGGAACTGCAAGCAGAGCTTTGTTTTATGCACCTTGATAAGAAGCATCTGGGGCACGTCGTGTAGGTGGTGTTGAGGCGACATCAGAAAGCCGTGTTCTGACATGTAGCTTCCTCCTCTGTGTCCTGCTAGTCCACGGCGACCACCCCGGTGCTGCATAGTTTAGAACCAGCCCGCCAATTGCCTTGTATGTTGCAAACAACGTTTCTTTGCCTTTGCCCCAGGTACTGCCGGCTAGCGGCTTGGTGACCTTATATGATCTGACAATTGAGGTTGTATGCGCCGAAAAGGAGTCCACATTTTTAAAGGATTTTCGGGTTTATTCACCGTCGTAATTGGTTCCCCATCGACGTCGGTTCCCAGCTGCAGTTTGACTTCCTTCGTCCAGGTTAAGAAGGGATGTCGAGGATTTCGTAGGGGAGAGGGTTAGGCTCCTTGCAGTGAAGAAGCCAGAAATTTTGGAGAGGTAACCGTTCATTTTCGAGCACAAGTCATCAATTCCATTCCCAGACGCCAGACGCATAACAGACAGTCGTGACTACCTCTGGTGGTTGAGGGAGTTTTAATATTTAAAAATTAAACAGCAGCTTGGAAAAGACACCACCCTAGGGAAGCCTCTGTTTAATTTGCCTCGGTTTGCTGGTTTGTCTCTAAAAATTACTGACGAATGTCGGCTACTCAGATAATTCGCCGACCACCGTTTGAGTGCCTGTGGAAGAAAGAAAGCCTCAATATATTTTAGAAGCGTGGAGTGACTGCCTTTGACAGATCCAATGCTACACTCAGAAAAAAGTCAGCCAAATATATTTCTACCAACACGTGATTTGGTAACTATAACCAAATAATGTGACTATAACTAAATCATGTGTTGAGAAAAACATATTTAGTTGACGTAACTAAACTCTTTTCTCAGTGTACTAAACTTCTACTCTCTCAGGGGCGATTTCAGTTGGCTGGAGTGGCAAGGCCTCAAGTGTCTTCGCTACCGGGGAAAAGAAATTTATTGGATGATAAGACAGTCCCTTGTTGGACGGTTTATTCGGTTTAAGCAGTAGGAGCACCCTCCCCATTTTCCAGATTTCCGGAATGATGAGAGTGGCCATAGAGAGGTGGAGGACTCTGGTAAGGTAGTCTACTCCCGCAGGACCCAAATTTTTCAGCATCAGCATGCAAATTCCGTTCGCTCAGATGGCTTTGAAGGCTTCCACCTTCCCAATGCTTAGCTGAACATCACCGCTGGAGAAAACAATGGGGGCATTAGGAGCTCGTAATTTATGCAGCCTTCTGGCCAATCCGCATTTGGCTTTGTCCGCCGGAGGTTGCAGCTTAAACTGTCGGCTCTCCGAAAGAGATTCCAAAAGAGAGTTCATCGATAGTGTGAATGGGGTAAAAGTCTATATATATATTTATACTTATGCCTTTCAAAAGCACGGCTGCTTCTCCAATGGGGGTCTAAAACAATATTTTGGACACTGCTCGGTTAAGACTCCTGTCAGAGTTGGTTCCTACCTCGCCGAAAAAACTTCCTCGATTGCCCTCCGTGTAAGAGCCATCCAATCGGAGCCAGTCTTTCCACGCACCGATCAGTTTCTTCAGGTGTGAAATGCGAAGTTTCCAAAGATTTCCGAATGCTCGCCGAAGCTGACGGAGCGGACAGCAGTAAAGATGAGTGCAATGTTGCCAGTGTACACTATACCTCGTGAGCCTCTTCTTTTCCGCTTCTCCAGAGAACGGGCTTGAAAATGGCTCGCTCCGCGGCAATCTTACTCACCTTCAGTTTCTGGATTTCACTATTGCCTCGGATAATACGTTATTAAAAGTGTGTCGATATCGACGAAGGCATCAACAACGAAGTCTTTGTTCTTAAATTAATTATCTATAGCTTTAACGATTCTATGTAAAGCAGACTTCACTGATTTACATCTGTGTATATATGTACATATATATAAGTCAATCAGTCTAAGAGGATTTTCAATTGGAAGGAAGAGGGCTGATTGGTTTAAAATCCTTGAGAGGCTAGAAAAAGTATCATCCGTCTTTTTAAAAAACGTTATCCGGGGAGAGGTCGTGGACCCCGTGCATGGCTGGAGTATCGGAACCTAACTAAAATTTTTGTTCATTTTTGGACCACCCTAATGTAGGTGTTAGAGTCTTGAAGAAAACATATTTAATTCTCTTGCTTTTTATCGTTTTTGGTTAATTATGCGTCTCATTTTGCACATAATATGCAGGTAAAACGTTTAATATTGTGCATGCATATGTATATATAAAAAATAACTAAATTTTGTATAAATTGATCAGCCGATTTGGGGATTTGTATCAGTTCTAATAGTTAATTCGTTCCGCTTGGTAGTAGACCATATCTAATCATCGGAGCAAAATGGTAAGAGAACTACAAAATTTCTAATTTTATTAGACGAATCATAATGGGAGAGGCTTTGTTGAAAAAGTAATTGTAATACCCTGCAAGCGAAGTCGAAATTTTGCGCGGAAAAAATTGTCCCAGTTTCTGTAGTTGCGGTAACTGAATAGCTGAGACATACCTCTCTTTTTTCTATTACAGAAAGTCTTCCTTGCCATCACCCTCGCCTTGGTTGCCTTCGCTTCGGCTGATGTCAGTCATTTGTCGAGTTCATACCTGCCGCCCAGCTCAGGCATTTCATACTCATCGGGCGGCCCCCACGGTGGCTCATACTCCTCAGGAGGTTCTCTTGGCAGTGCATACTCTTCAGGTGACTCTCTTGGTGGCTCATACTCTTCAGGCGGTTCTCTTGGCAGTGCATACTCTTTAGACGGCTCGCTCGGTACCTCATACTCATCGGATGGTGCCCTCGGTGGTTCATACTCTGCAGGCGGTTCTCTGGGAGGCTCATACTCGTCCGGAGGTGCTGCTGGCGGTGGTGGATCGTCCTACTCTGAGCCATCCAACGTATACTTGCCTCCTGCCTCAGCTCCAGTGTACTCTGCTCCAGCCCCAGCTCCTGTTTACTCTGCCCCAGCTCCAGCTCCTGTTTACTCTGCACCAGCTTCAGCGCCAGTATACTCCGCTCCAGTATACTCTGCACCTGCAGTTTCTTCAGGCGGAAGTGATGGTGGTTACTCTTACTCTAGCGGTGGTTCCTCTGGGATTTCTGGCGGTATTTCAGTCGGCCACTCTGGCGGTGGGTCGTACTCCAGCGGTGGTTCTACCGAATACTCTGCCCCAGCTCCTGCTCCAGTTTACTCGGCACCAGCTCCCGCTTCAGTCTACTCAGCTCCATCACATTCATCAGATGGTGATGGCGGTTACTCTTTCTCTATCCATGGTTCATCTGGTACCTCAGGTGGTATTTCAGTTGGCCACTCTGGCGGTGGTTCTTCCGAATACTCTGCCCCAGCTGCTGCTCCAGTTTACTCATCAGGTGGCTCCTTGTCTTACTCGTCGGGTGGTTCATCGTACTCTGGTGGCGAAGTTGGCACTCAGTATGCCGCCGGCGGTGGTTACGTCTACAAAGAGCAGTAAAACGCTTGGAACTTTTATTATTACAACTGTGTTTGTACCTTAAAGTAGGTGACGATGTTTCATGCATACAAATCCCATACAACTAACTAATTTTTCTGAAAACATGTTGTTTATAATTGTTGCAGATTATTTATTTGTACCGGGAGCTACGAAAATGAATTTAACACATATAACTTGGGGAAATGCTAAGCTACAACTAATTGTTGCTATTTCTGGACATNCATGCATACAAATCCCATACAACTAACTAATTTTTCTGAAAACATGTTGTATATAATTGTTGCAGATAATTTATTTGTACCGGGAGCTACGAAAATGAATTTAATACATATAACTTGGGGAAATGCTAAGCTACAACTAATTGTTGCTATTTCTGGACATTTTTGCTGACAAATTTTGACATAGTAAAAGGATAAAATCAGTCAAAGTCTTGCCAGAGGTGTAAATTTTAAGCGTCTTTGAAAAGTGAATACTAAAAGAATTTTTAAATATGTAAGGAACTAAATATATTTTATGAAAAAATTATCAAAATGTGTATATAGAATTTTTAATCAAAGAAAAGTCGCTTGAGTTTTAAGAAAAGTTTCAAAATAAGGCTATTTCTAAAAAGTCGGTGGCAGGGGCATCGATCTCCAAAAAGTGTCAATTTGACACTTTAGTCGCATAAGGGTAACACTGATTACAGCCGTTCTAGGAGTTGAAATTTCACTCCCACGTTTGGCAGGTAAACAAAAAAACAGAAGTAACCCCCATCGGTCAATGAAAATGAGTACTATAATAAAATCGTATCTGAATTTACTAAAGCCTCTTTACAACTACGCTTTTAATGTGAAAATTTATGAAAATACGCCAGCTTTACCTAGAATTGCAGCGGACGACGCTAAAGCGGTCGTCGGTTAACCGTTGTCAAAATTAAAACTCACAAAGGCATATAGAATGGCTAATAATTGTGGTGACAGCGTTTTTACCCCCACGACGTTTTTCGGGTGATTTAATTTTATTTCTATTTTTACCGCTCAGCGGGGACGGAACAATGTTGATTGAGTGTTGATTGTAGTCATTTTTATTTTTTTCACAAATTTGGCAAAGTTTTCATCCATTTTTCTTTCCATCAAATCTATATACCCATACGGACCGAAAAAATATTTAATTTTAATGATAATTTTCAAATCAAAATGACAATTGTGTTTACTTTGACAGATTTCACTGCAACAAATGATCAGCTGTTCACTTACCGCCTACCACTTTACCATCGTCCGCGGTAGTTCTGGGTAGAGTTTAAACGTTCCAGTGAAGAGGTACAAAATAACGCGAAGCATTTTCAGCAGATCTATGATCTAGATATGAGCAGTAAACTCATTCTTTGGTACAATTTATGGAAGAAAGAACTTGTCCGAAGAAGATATGAAGGATGTTTAAGTTGTAGATTTTTTAAAGAATAAAACGAATAAATAAGTGTGTTTCCATTTTGAGCGCTTTTCCATGCACAACAGCATTTGTGGAGCGATCGTTTAGTACACTTCGTAGAATAAAAACCTGGCTCAGAGGCACACCAGGAGAAGAAAGACTTTCTGAACTATGCCTCATGAGCATCGATAGAAAACTCGTGACGTTTGTTATTAGCGTAAAAATTATTAAATAAAATATATCAAAAAAATTAACAAGTGTTATTCGTTTTGCCAAAAGAGGCTAGTACTCCTGCTAGAAAACTACCTGTAGCGCTACCAATGTTACCTCTACAGAGGAAAACTCAAAAAAATGCCACACCCAAACGTCCAGGCAATTTTTCCAATCGCTAAGAATTAGATCGAACTGGTTTTGCTGACTCATAGCAGGATTAAAAGGAATTACTCTGCGAATTCCACGTCCTCTCACATTGAAAACTTCGCTAAGAGAAAACCAAGTCAAATTGGCAAAAGAGCACACATGGTACAAACAGAATCCAAGCTCTACGTAACCATATCCGAGGTCGTAAAGGCGCTGACATATCAAGCAGACCTGGTTCAGAGCTCAAGGTTAATTCTACTCCTAAAGAGTACCCTAACAAACTTTATTCCCTCGACTAACTTCAGGCCATACAGGCGGGCGTCCTGCCAATGGTAAGGCAGCAGCAAAAAGACTACGTGGAGTTTAGCGGCTGCACCTTTCGTCCGGGGTGGTTGTCGATTAATTGCGAAGATGCGGAAACGCTGGAGTGTCTGCCAAAAATCACACCAACTTTTAAACCCTGGAAAGACGCGGAAATTGCCAGGGATGTCCCCATATGCTCTGTATATATTGGTCTCTTACCGTAGCCATAAAACACTACAGTGGATAGTATTTTTTCGATCCACCTTGGAGACCACAATAGAGTAGCGCTGTGGTGGGTCCAGAGACATGAAGGGTTTGAGGACAACGAAAACGTTGAGCCGAAACGCGCTTGCATGGTACCAAGCCGGTGTACTTTACATCTAAAGCATTCACTGCAGAGCTTCTTATGAGCTGAGAAGAATCTCAGCTGCTTGCTGGATTCATAACTTATTTCAGGAGGAACTCCGAAAGACTCCTTGAACTTAGCCGACTGAACTTAGTAGATAAATGTATTTTATGCGTATAAATTTTTGATAGGGGTGAACAAAGACTCCTTTCGGTACCACAACTACCTTTGGACTCACATCAAACAATTTTTGCTATTAAAAATTGCGTTGAAAAAAATTAAAGCTGTATACAGTGTTTATCTGAGGAGTTTTTGGCAGAAGGGGAATGAGCACGAAGAATAATCACAGGTACTCGTTTTCCGTGTTTTCTAACCCGAGAAAAACTTCCGCAATATTATACGACAGCACCAATTGATTTTAAGATGTCTCATAAATTTGCAAAACAGTGCAAGAAAATAATAAAAGATCGATCTTATTTGCATGCAAACAAAGAAACAATAAATTTCTAAACGAAATCGATGTTATGCAAAAATGGAAATACGTTGAACAAAACATTTGCTAAAATACCGAGCTCGATTGTAGAGCATGTGAATGTCTACAGTTCTTCACAATCAATAGTGATAGTCGATTGTTAAATAAGTATTTATAAAAAAATACCGATTATTTGTCAAACTCCACGTTCTTTATTTACCTTATAAATAAGTACATTTGCCCTGATGAGCATTTACNAGTGATAGTCGATTGTTAAATAAGTATTTATAAAAAAATACCGATTATTTATCAAACTCCACGTTCTTTATTTACCTTATAAATAAGTACATCTGCCCTGATGAGCTAAATGCTGGTAAAAACGTCGATGGAGTATTCGCACCAATTGCATTGGACTTTTGGCTATATGGTAAACAGGTCCGGAGACCCACATGAAAATTTTTTTAGAATATAAGGAAGAACTTCAAAGCTTAGGCATATATTTAAGTAGTATATTAATTACCTGCCCTCCCACAAATGCGTTTGAATTCGACAAAATACCAGATTTATGGAATATACTGGTAGCCCAGGAAAATCTTAGACTAAGTATAAAAGTGGGCATATATGTAGATATTCAGCCTTATCATGAGTTTCATTTTCCCCAAACCGGTTCACTTTAAGTTTCCATGTATTTACTATGGGGGGAGCACAATTTTTCGAGTGAAAATTTTTCCGGCTGAAAATGTTTTTCGGGCGAAACTGAGGATAGTGCAGATTATCTACCACAGAATGGGCTCTCGATAAAACTAGCAGTCGTAGTCTAACCTCACTGTGCATCGTATTAAATATACATAAATAAAATTAGGGTTCAAACAGGTGAAACAAAAGCTTCTTGAGAGTTGACCAATTGCTTATGTTTAACGGAGACGCAACTGTTACACGTTTGGGTATATTTCTAGATATCCTTCATTAAAGATCCTCGGGAGTCGAGGCGCTGAATCTCCCTCCAAGAGAATTTATTTGTCAGCCCTTAGGAATGGTCCTTTGGTCATGGTTCTTGAGTGGGGCTACTCCACCGTACTCGATGTAAGAGTCCACTGAAGTCTGCAGTGTCTGATCACAATGAGGTGCGGCTGGAAGCGGGTGTCTGTCTTGAAACAAGCAGCTCGTTTTATAAATGTGTCCTCATAAATTAGGCTAGTCTCTGGTGTGCTTTGGGTGTGAAGGCCGCCAATAAAAACCCTTCCAATGAAAAAAGTGAGAAAAGTGGTTAAAAGACTATGATTTGAGGGTATGTAAGTATGTACGTGGAACCTTCTTTGATACGAGTAGTCAGGCAGCTATTGAGATACTTCATTGCGACTAATCCACATTAAGAATAGTCATGGAGTTTAGACATATTCAAATATGTAGTATGGATGCCAAATCACAAAGATATCGTCACTGGACACGAATAAAGGCGCGAGCTCAAAAGTTGACGGCGAAAAAAGACGCATAAAAAAAACTTCAGCGTCAAAGACGCTTAACATACCTCGCCGAAGTTTTTCATAAGCATCTTTTTTCGCAAAATTTTTTACGCGCCTTTTTTCGCCGTCAAAACACTAACGCGCCTTTATTCGTGTGTAGTGACGATATGTAATCAGGCAATTGCATGACAGATTTACTAGTAAGTGAGGCAACCTTGTTATTTGCGACCAGTGCCGTTTTGAACTTGCGTATTCCGCCATCATATTGGCACCTCTGGCTGGAGAATAATTTTAAAGAGCTGTCGAATACCAGAAGGTCTACACAGTCGAAATGAAGGATGGCACGAAATATTTTTCTGAACTAAATTTGATAAAGAAGATCTAGCACAACTTGCGGACGGCGCGAACAGCGTGTAATCGGGGGTTATTAAAGATCACTACTAGATGGTAATGCACGGTCTACAGTCTTTGCAGCTATCGTGATGTAGAAGAATTCGAGCAGTTTAATTCGTTTTACTTCTGGAGGAAGGAAAGATGTACTATGTTACAACTAATCCCCTGCGGGCAACCGTAATAAACTTACAAAAGTGATTTAAGATCTTTTGGATTATCGTACATATTTTTCGATATTAATTTGTTTACTCTACTAATAAGGATGGCCGAACATACATATGTATGTACGCATATATGTACCAATATGTGCACATTATGTGCACCTATGTACAAATACGATCTGCTTTAATATTCATCTTCTTTAATTCATAGTTTTATGAATTTTTTTTTGCGGTTTTGGCCTTTCGTGGACTAGTACATAGCATTTGATTTAAATTTGTCAAAGATAATGTAAATTACTAAAACTTGTTTACCGGCTCAAGAGTTGTTGCTTGGAGCAAAACTATGTGAAGAGGGCGACCTTCGCGGGAAGTGCTAAAATGAGCAGCGGTAGGTACGCGTGTGAAAAAGCATATAGCATGTAGGGATGTTAATTTTTTCGCTTTTTACGATTCCGGGATTTTCGGGTTGTCGTTATCACAATCCCGGTATGCTGGGATTAGTCCCGGGATATAGTTATTCATTACTTTTCAAAAACTTAAATCGAAAAAATTGCTTCTCTCTCTCCTACCATAAAGTAAATAATAAATAAATGGGTTTGAAACCAACTCTTTAATTTAAAGTGGCGTTTCTATTTTTTCTTTCTGACGTCCGGATTTATTGTAAAGGACTTTCTAATTTCAAAGATATGATTAATTCTAAAAATTATTTAAAAAAATGTAGAATAAAAATATGGGTACCAAATGAGAGAGAAAATTTCTTTAGAATTTAAAAAAAATTAAATTTTTGGATTCACAAGGACGAATAGGTAATTTTTTATGCTTATGAAGGTAGAAGAACGAATTTCGAGGATGTTATCGAAAGCAGATATTGCGAAATTTCAATGATAAAATTTTAAAATGACATTTTCATTACCTACCCGTCCTTATGCACCAAAAAATTGAAGCTAATTAAATTCTATAGAATTTTCTATTTAATTTGGTGTCCATATATCTTCCTTAAGTACATTTTAATGAATTTTTTAAATCATTTTTGAATTATTGACGTCAGAGTGAAAAAGTAAAAACGCAATTTTACTATATTTGGCCCATGGTTTCACGAATATATTGATTTTTAACCGACTTCCAAAAAGGGGGAGGAGGTTGTCAGTTCGTCGGAATATTTTTTTATTATGTTACCGCATAACTTTGGACCACGTCAACCGATTTCGATAATTCTTTTTGTATCAGAAAGGTAGTGTCTCAGAGGTAGTCCCGTACTACTCTGGTTTAGATCCGATAATTGTATCAGGAAATATATGTAGGATAGGACTTATGTATATGGCAACCATCATTAAAGGGACAATCGACTAAGTGAGGCGGCAGAAATAATACCGAAGCGTCCACCAATAGGTTTAAGAAATGGAAAGTAAGAATGGAAGAAGCAGTCGAAGTAGAGAAGTTAGCCGAACTACACGTCGTTGTAGCCTTAGCCGTTTAAGTGACACTGAATTAAATAAAACTTTTTAAAATTACATCTAAGTACAATCGTGTGCGTTTTAATGGTACTACATATATATAGATATAGATATATTTTTTTAAGTCGTTTTTTTTGCTAAAAATTACTTGTTGTGTGTAAAATTTACTGTCGCACGGAGTTATATTTATAATAAGCTAGACATTTATAACAAGAATGAAAGTCTAAGTTCGGGTGGAGCCGAACATTTCCGAAACCTACCGCTAGATGGTAAGCCGGGGTGTATCAATTTTGAGTAAATTAGCGTCCTTAAATTTCGAAATATTGCAGTTTCAAGCATTTATGAAATTTACCGTTATATGAAAAGCGGCCGTAATTTCAGTCCGATTTCAATAATTTTCAATGTTTTGCTTTTATGTGGCAAGCACAACAAAAATACCGAGTTTGGTACAAATTGATAGAACGGTTACCGATATACATATATGTGGTCATAACTGGGCGGTGCTACGCCCATTTTCCAAAATTTAACCATAAACGTATTTCTTGGTAAAGAATTGTTGCAAGCATCAATTTTGAATAAATTAGCTTTAATATTTACTGATTTATCGAAGATTTTGTATTTCTCTAAATTACCGTTATATGGGATGTGGGCGTGGCTATTGTCCGAGTTTTTAAATTTTCGGCAATTTACTATGATGTACCAAGGCCAACAACTGTGCCAAGTTTGGAAGAAATTGGTGCAGCGGTTACCAAGATATACACATGTAACCATAAGTGGGCGTGGCTA